ATCTCACAATAAATGGCCCCATCCATCTTCTCCTTAATACAGTGCAGACGTCCTGTCCCCTTCGCAGAAAAGCACCCCCAAAGCATGATGTTACCACCCCCATGCTTCACAGTAGGGATGGTGGTCTTGGGATGCAACTCATCCTTCTTTTTCCTCCAAACACGACGAGTGAAGTTTAGACCAAAAAGTTCTACTTTGCTCTAACAAGTTGATCTATTTTCACCAAGCTGCTTGGCAATTGCCCCGTAGCCCTTTCCAGCCTTGTGGAGGTCCACAATTTTGTCTCTGGTGTCTTTTGACAGCTCTTTGGTCTTGCCCATGGTAGTAGTTGGCGTCTGACTGACTGTGGGGTGGACAGGTGTCTTTAAAGAGCTCAGACAGGTGCTACTAATTTAGATTAATGAGTGGAGTAGAGGTGGACTTTTTCAAGGCACAGTAACAGGTCTTTGAGAGCCAGAATTCTTGCTGTTTCTCAGGTGTTCAAATACTTATGTTCAGCAGTGCAAGACAAATAAATTCTTTAAAAATCATACAATGTGATTTCCTGATTTTTTTTTTTTTTTTCTGTCAGAGTGGGAATGCACCTACAATGTGAATTTCAGACCCCTCCATGATTTCTAAGTGGGAGAACTTGCTAAATTGCAGGGTGTTCAAATACTTCTGTTCCTCACTGTATTTTTGACTAAAAACAGACGGCATGCAGCATTTGTTTTAATTACTAGACATACCTTTTGTTTTCGTTATAAATTAATCATTATCTTGATCAATTCATTTGTTGTGATGAGATGTAAAAAAAAAAAGTGAAAAATGTTCAAGTAATTAACAAAAGAGCTGCTGATTCACCAAATGAACTAATCGTCTCCAGACCTGATTAATTGATACTGAAGACACTTCAGTTGCAGTGGTTAATTTCCCAGTACAGGGTCTGTTAACGTTTGTTGGCTTTCAGCCACATCTGTCCTGGTCAGTGGAGATGGAGAGTTAAACCCTGTTTATCTAAATTCTAAGCTATATTTACTTTAAAGGTCTTACTTGGCTGTTTGTGCTTAGACAGCATTCGACCTTTGATTTCTTTTGTTCTGTGTTTTGTACAAAAGTGTTTTTCTTTCTCAAAGTGTCAAACAAGTACTAAACAACTCAGCAGAGGTACCAGAAGCAGCAGTAGTATTAAAATACCTCCTGTTACTTTTCCTCCTAGTATCAGAGCTGAAGAAAGTCCACATCGAGGTGAAGGAGCCCCCCGCTCCTTCTCAGCCTACAGGTAGCGACGAAGACGAGGAGGAAGATGAGGAAGAGGACGAGGAGGATGAGGAAGAAGACGAGGAGGAGGAGGAGGAAGAAAGTGAGGAAGATGAAGAGGGCGAAAAAGGGTCTGTGGCCACAGGTCAGGGCAAGAGGAGAGCAGCAAGGGAGAGCGAGGATGAGAGCAGCGAGAGTGAGGATGACGACGGGAGGACGAAGGATGAGCGACTGTATGACCGAGCCAAGAGAAGGATAGAGGTGAGTCATAGGAAACACAGGAGGAACCAGAGCTCGCCTCTTTTCACCCTGTCTGATCCACAGTGTGTTTCCATAGAAACGAAGAGCAGAGAACATGAGGAACATTGACGTGGACACGCTGAGAGCCCCGGTGGTGTGTGTGCTCGGACACGTCGACACTGGGAAGACCAAGATCCTTGACAAGGTGATGGTTTGCTGACTGTTTTATTTACTTGGTTGTGTATTGTTTACTGTTTTGTTGCTGTTTATTCTGTGGTGATTATTTGCTGGCTATTTACTGACAAGTTTTTTAGGTTGCACTTTCTGACTGGTTTCCTGTATCATAGCTGTTTGTACTGACTTGTTTACCACCGGGTTAACGTGGCAGTAGTTGAGGCCAGTTGACTGGTTTTTGTAGTAACTCTGCAGTGGGTGTGTGTTGTAGTTGCGACACACTCATGTTCAGGATGGCGAGGCTGGAGGAATCACTCAGCAGATCGGAGCCACAAACGTCCCCAAAGAGGCGATCGAGGAGCAGACCAAGATGGTTAAAAACGTACGACAGCACACACACACACAGGTGTTGGCTTGGTGCTGGTTCTGCATCTGTATTAACCCGATTCTCGTTTGTACAGTTCGACAGAGAGAGCATCAAGATCCCCGGCATGTTGATTATTGACACACCAGGGCACGAGTCCTTCAGGTAACACACAGACAGCATCATGTAAAGGTCCCCCAGTTGCACAAAGGCATTTACACCTGCTCTGCTTTGAATAATAATCTGTCTCTTGTGTGTTTTCTGACACAAAACGTAATTCTCAAGTTTTTCTGAGCGTTATTATCCTACATATCACACTTGTACATTGTATATTTGTACATCTTCAAGTTTGAATTTGTGCTCAGAGAAGCTTTCTCTGTAGTGTAAAACTCTGTTCGATCGAACGTTACATAAACTAGTCCTTCCAAGCAAAAAAAAAAAAAAAGATGAATAACAATGAACTAATTAAAGTGAATATATGAATATAAAATACTGTTCCTGAAATAAAATGTGTGTGTGTGTGTGTGTGTCGTCAGTAACTTGAGGAACAGAGGCAGCTCTCTGTGCGACATCGCCATCCTGGTGGTGGACATCATGCACGGCCTGGAGCCTCAGACGCTCGAGTCCATCAACCTGCTGAAGGAGAAGAAGTGTCCCTTTGTCGTTGCCCTCAACAAGGTCTATTTCATGCTTATCAGAAGTGTTTTGCCTGGTTTCATCTTCCTGTTGTTTTCTGACGGTGCGTCTTCGTCTCCAGGTCGACCGTCTGTACGACTGGAAGAGAAGTCCGGACACTGACATTGTAGCCACGCTGAAGAAGCAGAAGAAGAACACAAAGGACGAGTTCGATGAGAGAGCCAAGGGCATCATTGTGGAGTTTGCTCAGCAGGTATTACAAATAGAACAGCATGCTGATGAAACGTTCCTTTACTTAACAAAGAGTTTCTGATTTTTAAAATGCACGCCCGCTGCACAGACAGCGCTTCAGTTCTGTTCATTTCCAGGATGTATAAAAATCAAATGGCAGACTCTTGAAATCTGCTTTAATTTTGAAATTCAGTAACAAAAACTAACAAAAATATGCAACTAAGTAAAACATAGTAGAAAATAACAGCCCAATAACATTTTCATGGTTTTGATCGTTACTAAAAGACAATATGCCTACATCACTGTATATTTATCTTTGCACTATTTACATCCATTGAACTGTTCACTCATGTAACTTATCTTCTTATTCTGCACTGTTTCATTCCATCTCATCCCAGTGCACTAGTGTTCCATAAACTTAATGTACATTATCCATTACTGTAATTTAAATCCATAGTCTGTTGTATATTGTACATCACCCTACATATGTTACTGTAACTATAAATTGTACATATCGGTAGATTAGGTCTGACTACATAGTGTACATACTGCACTTCGGGTTAGATGCTAAACTGCATTTTGTTGCCTTGTACACGGGTAATGACAAAGTTGAATCATCTAATCACTAACACATCATTCTGATGAGACGATTTAGTCATTAATATGGAAAAAAAAATTTAAACATAGAAAGTTATGCATTTTCCTTTTTAAATATGTTGAAAATAATGTAAATTTGTCTCCTTTTGTTTGTTAAAAGAAATGTTCTCAGTTCAAATTAATTTATACCTTTTCCAAATTTGGGATCTGATTTTTAGAGCTTTTATATTTTGAGTTAAGAAAAGTCCTGCATTTTTCACAGTATTGCAGTTTGATGTGATTCGTTACTGTCCAGCATAATTTAATCTGGAATTCAGACCAGCCTTCAGTAATTTCCATCCTACTGAACATTGTTGTGTGTGTGTGTGTGTGTGTGTGTTACTGATCGTCAGGGTCTGAACGCTGCCTTGTTCTACGAGAATAAAGACCCCCGGACATTTGTGTCTTTGGTCCCCACGTCAGCCCACAGTGGTGACGGGATGGGAAACCTCATCACACTATTGGTTGAGCTCACCCAGACCTTGTTAGCCCGCCGACTAGCGCACTGTGATGAACTGCGTGCTCAGGTCATGGAGGTAAGAGTCTGATTTTGTCAAAGAAGTGCAGTAGAACTTTCTAGTTTTATTGTTCCCTGATGATTTGTGGATGTTCAGGTGAAAGCTCTGCCTGGTATGGGAACTACGATAGATGTAATCCTGATTAACGGTTGTCTACGGGAGGGAGAGACCATCATTGTCCCGGGGGTGGAGGGACCAATCGTAACACAGATCAGAGGGCTGCTGCTGCCTCCGCCTCTGAAGGAGCTCAGAGTCAAGGTAAACTACTGGAAAATGGTGTTTCTGCGAGAGTTGTTTGTAGTTTCAAAATAAAAGCACCTTCTTACTACATAACCAGCAGGCTCGAGTTTCACTGCAGCTGTTACACCGTGAAGATTGATCAGCTGCTGCTGTTTCTGTACTAGCTGAGTAAGCAGTGGCTGTTTTCACTTATTGGCGAGCCTCCTGTTCTATTCACTGATGTGTTCATTGGTTATTTTGTGTAGAACCAATATGAGAAGCACAAGGAGGTGTCAACGTCTCAGGGGGTGAAGATTTTGGGTAAAGACCTGGAGAAGGCATTGGCGGGGCTGCCCCTGCTGGTGGCGTACAAGGACGATGAGATCCCTGTCCTCAAGGTGACACACACACACACACACACACACACACACACACGTTTCCTGTGGCTGAATTAGATGGGTAATAAATACAGTGACAGATCCAGTTTGTGACCAGTTGAACTTGTGTTAGGACCAGTACTTACTTGCTGAATGAGACTGACTGGTGCTGGTTTTCAGGATGAACTGGTACGCGAGCTCAAACAGACTCTGAACTCCATCAAACTGGAGGAGAAAGGAGTTTATGTCCAGGCATCCACTCTGGGATCACTAGAGGCTCTGCTTGAGTTCCTCCGGACGTCTAAAGTCCCTGTGAGTACCTGTCGATGACCCCATCTGTCTGTCTTTTTAACCTGTTTTTCTGCAGTAAATTTCTTTTTTTGGCTCCATCAGCTTTAAACTTTGAACCAAAACTGCCATTAAAGCTGCTGTACATCTAACAAGGAGTTTTTACTTTGAAAAGCAACAGGAAACAAAGTAAAAGCCTTAAATGAGCTGACCTTTGACTTGTGTCTGTTTCTCCTGTGCGTTTTCCTGCAGTATGCTGGTATTAACATCGGCCCAGTTCACAAGAAGGATGTGATGAAGGCGTCGACCATGCTGGAACATGACCTACAGTACGTTGTCTTCTCAGGCTTTATTCTTTCTACTGTCGGTGACCAGATCACCAGACATTAAAGCATGAATAATTTGATACGAGTACAGAAACAGATGTAATTTTTACTCCATGAAAGCCATGAAATAAAGCACAAGAAAACAAAAAATACACACAACACTTTGATGCAAAATGTTTTGTAACCGAAGCAGACAGGAAAAGTAGGGAGCGATGTCGCAGTTACATTAAATAAACTCGTCGTATTATTTGGTGTATATTAAACATGTATTTGTGTTGTGTGTCTGCAGGTACGCAGTGATCCTGGCGTTTGATGTGAAGGTGGAGAGGGAGAGTCAGGAAATGGCCGACAGCCTGGGCGTACGGATCTTCTCAGCTGAAATCATCTACCATCTGTTTGATGCCTTCAACAAGTACAGAGAGGACTACAAGAAGGCCAAGCAGGACGAGTTCAAGTATGAGCGCTCATGCTCGGACACAGTGAATCAACTCATGAGCCAAAACTTTTGTCTCAGTTTAGCTTTTCTCGGTGCCTTTTGGTCGGTTATCAGTAATAGTGTAAAAGACAGGCAGCGCTCTGACATTTTAATGTGTGTTTGTCTTGTCAGGCATATCGCAGTGTTTCCTGTGAAGCTGCGGGTTCTTCCTCAGTTCATCTTTAACTCCAGAGATCCCATCGTGATGGGGGTGTTGGTGGAGGCTGGAGTCCTGAGACAGGGGACGCCACTGTGCGTCCCCAGCAAAGGGGTGAGACACACTGAAGCACAGTGTGTGTGTGTGTGTGTGTGTGTGTGTGTGTGTGTGTGTGTGTGTGGGTGTGTGTGTGTGGGTGGGTGTGCCTAGTTTATTTGACGTTATCATGAGGACACAACAGCGTCATGTAAAGAGTTGCTGGAAACGTGCACAAAATGCACAAGTCATCGGTATGTGAGCTAAAGTTATAAGAGAGATGACGTGGTACAGTGATATTTGGGGGGGAAACAGAGAGAGAGAGAGAGAGAGAGCCTTGTCTATATCTTGAATGTGATGATTTAAGTTTGACACTGATGTGATGACGAGTTTAAGGTGTTTTTGGTGCAAAACGTGAGGTCTGGATAATGACATAACTGGTTATACAAGTAATTTAGTTTATTCAGCTGTTTTGGTTCAGAAGTCAGTTTTGCTATGAAGTGTGTGTGTGTGTGTGTGTGTGTGTGTGTGTGTGTGTGTGTGTGCTAGCAATAGAAATCATGAGTAGCTCAACGAGGAAAACTGATTGGAGAGCCGTGTACTAAAAAGGCCTTGTGGTCAGACGGTTTTTATCAGCTGCCTCCAAAGTCAACCATGAACTTTGTCTCCACTTTTAAGCCATATTGACCCACAAATGTCTTGGCTTTGTTTTTTCTACAATAGTATATAAATGTTAATAAAAGTTTGTTTCCCTAGAGATTTAATTTGCAATTAAGGTTGCGGTTTTTCTTTACTATAAGTGTTTCAGACTAGCAACACTCTCCCATTATTGTGTGTGTGTGTGTGTGTTTCAGTTTGTGGACATCGGTGTGGTGACAAGCATCGAAATGAACCACAAGCCTGTTGACAGCGCCAAGAAGGGCCAGGAGGCCTGCGTCAAGATCGAGCCCATTCCCGGAGAGTCGCCCAAGATGTACGGCCGCCACTTTGAAGCCACCGACATCATTGTCAGCAAGGTTAGGACACGCCCTCTGGAGCCTCGCAAAAAGCTTCCTTTATATACAAACATCAAGTCTGTGATGCACTAAAATCAGAGGATCTTATGTACATATCTAAAAACATGAAGCGATATAAGAGAGTCATAACATATATGAAGGTGCGTTGAAGTCCATTATCACATACAGGTGAATCAGTTGTTAGAAAATCTTTAATCCTACCTTCTAATGTTAACTCACGTTTTCACTGTTGGTTTTTGTTAAAAGACAAATTTGTTAGTGTCTCTGTATTTTGACAACCCATAAATGGGATCCAAATGGGAACCAGCGATCAGAACCACACCTACGTTTAACATGTTGTCTGGTCCCCTCTGAAGGCAGGTTGACAGCAGGGTGAGCAGCTGACTGTCATGGGCGGCTGTTGAAAAATGGTGATAGAGTTTCAGACTCAGTTCCTGAAGACGTAATAGATGTTGCACGCTGTTGTTCACATGAAAATTGTCACAATTAGTTGAGTACCAAACAAAGAAGCTTGCCGCCTGGCTCCTCTCTCACCTCCACACAGCTGTCCAGTCATGACGTGAAGTGGTGGGAAAGTTGGGCCATCATCAATATGCGCAAATATTTTATATGATAATAAAACCATCCACACAAATCTGAAGTCCAGCAAAATTTAGCAGTGATTCCATCATGTGTGGTTTCATAACTTCAACTGCTCTTTCAAGGCAGCAATAAATATTTTTCATCCAAGTTAATGGCAATAATTTCAAAAACTGATTAAGAAGTTGAAAAGTGAAGTTCAGTGAAGTCCTCCACTGTTTTAATTTAGCAGTACAATGTAGACATTTTAAAACATTTTATTCTGAGCAGTAAGAGTATTTTACTACTTCTGCCCATTTTCCATCTCATCTGCAACAGTCTCTTCTAGAAGAAATGCATTTAATATCAGTCAGATAAACTGTGGAGGTAGCTGCTCCTCAACAGGAGCTGATTTTTAGGAAGATGAGACAGATGTGAAAGAGGAAGAATGGAAATGAGAGATGAAGAAAGAAAGGGAGGTAAGAAGGTCAGAAAGAAGGTGTTGGAAATTGACTGTTTCTGCTACACAACTTATTTCTGAGATTGTATTCAAGGTTTTGAAGTGTTAAATATGATTTGCATTATTATGCAAATGCATTATTTTAGCAGGTATCTGCAGTTCTGTCTTAAAAATCAGTTTCCTTAAAGGATATTTGAAAGTGTTAAAGATTCTTTGACTTAATTTGCAATAGTTTAAAATATTTTCACTTGCTTGTCATAGGCAGTAATGTTAATTATAAAATTATTTTGTACCCGGTTGCAGGTTGTTTACATCTGTAAAATACAACTGAGCCTGATGCCACAGTGGATTGTGCAGAAGCTGAATTAAAACACCTGATAATCTGTTCAACCATTCACATATCCAAGTTACAATAATTAACTATAACACAGGAATTACTGTTTGTAAACTGCTGGGGAAAAATACAACATAATTGTGTGCAAGTGGCCCAGATCTGATGCAAAAACATCTGATTTGATTTGTTCACACCTCTGGAAACCTCACAAGTCATGTTCCCAACCCTGGTGTGCTTTTGTGTTTCAGATCACACGGGCATCCATCGATGCTCTGAAGAACTGGTTCAGAGACGACATGCAGAAATCTGACTGGCAACTGATCATGGAGCTGAAGAAGACGTTTGAGATCATCTGAGGGACCTAAAGCACACACAAATCAACATGCATTTCCTTCCCGGGTCGGTGACTGAGGGACAAAAATAAAAAAAGAAGACAAAACAACCTAAGAAAAAAGACGTGAAAGTGTTTTTCTGTGAGAAACCGTTTTTTCCACTGTTGTAAACAGTGATAGTTTAGCCCCCATTTCACACACAGTATTCCAACGTGCCTGTTCTTCAACATCGTTATTTCCTCTCCTTGTTCTCTGCTCTGATTTGTGGCTGCTGCTTCGTGTCCCCGGCTCCGCCCCCTTCCACCCCCAGACTGAGGCTAACGAGCTTAACGAGGCCGACGAGTCGGCAGAGCCAGTGTTCGGCCAACCAGGTGTGTTCTGGGATTGTATTGGGTGGCACCAGGGCTGAAGGAGGAAAATGGTTTTTTCTTTTCACTAAACACCAAATCACTGTAGCGGCGGTGTCGACTTTACAGACTTAATAGAGCCGACTCAGCGTTAGCGGCTTTGCTGTGTGGTTTGTCGGCCATGTTGGAGGGCTGGGTGGGGGTTTGAACGACAACAGTGTTGTGGAAGATTTTAAACTGTTTTTGCTGCAACTGCTGATGTAATAAATTCCCATGATTCTGATGAAACCTCCTAGTTGAGTTTTCAGTTCAGACCGGTGCACGCCCGCAGCAAAACGACCTCTAACACAAAATGGTTAAGTACTAAGATTTGAATCAGTGCGGTATGGAGGACTGTGGCCGCCAATATAAACATATTTGTTAAAATTAGTTACTCATGTACACATGATATGACAAAATTCAGAGTTTTTAATCAAATTCTTCAGGATTAATAATTACTGCCTAGAAGAAAATGATTACTTCATTGACTGATGATGTTTGGTCAGTTTCAGTGCATAACAATGACATAACTATTATAAATTAGGCTTTTTAATTGGTACATTATGTGCAAACAAACCTTGATAATTGAAAAAAAAAACTGAGGTCAGAGTTTAATTTCTGAATTTACCTTTTTAAAGCCGGGGGGGGGGTCAAACTCGTATTTTACAGTGGCCCTAATCCTCTGCTGTAGGAAAGGACTCGGCTAATGTAAGGGAACTCTGGCTGTAAGTGCATCTTTAGTATTAAATATTTACACAGTTCAGTCTTTTAAAGTGCAGAAAAACAATACAAAAATATAGAGTTAAAAAAAAGTGACAAGTGCCTTCACATGTTAATTTTCAAAGTCTTTTTTCATAAATGTGAAAAAGACTATCAAATAAGAATTAATAAAAAGAATAAATTAAAGCAGCAGCTGTGTTGGCTGTCAAACGGTGGCAGGGATGAAGAGTCCGTGAAGGTCTATGTGGACGCTGGTGGGGATGGAGGCGCGAGCGATTTCCTCCAAGGTTTTGGCGTCGAGGACGAGCATGAAGGGAGAAGTGTTTGGATCCGCAGAAATAACAGAGGACAAGATGATTCCTGGAAGGAGGAAAACAGCTGATGCTTTAGTGTCTCTTGCATTGTGGTTTTTAAAGGTGCACAGTAAACTTTAACAGAGCGATGAACAGCAATAGCGTTGCTGTAGTTTGGTAGAAAGATGAGTTCCTCACCATCGTCTTCCTCGACGCCTCCTGGAGATGCAACAAAGACTGGTTCTGAAGAGTAACAGTTTTCTTCCTTCCACTCGATGTGTTTTCTGGTGACAATGTCGAACTTGGCAATCTGTTGGACAGGAAAAGTTGGGCACTGCTTAGCCATACTGACCGAAACCAGGGGTGAAGATGTCAGTTAGTCCCCTGCTTTTGTCCCCAATAAAATATCTCAACCACTAATGGATCGACTACCATGAAATTTGGTTCAGCTTTTACAATCTACGTTCCCCATGAGATGAAGTTGTAAGATTTGAGTCTTATAGACTCGAGTTACTTTATAAGCTTTAGTTACTTCTCATACCTTTTGTTCCCTTTTAGTTACCTTTCATAACTTTCTTACTTGTTTATGCATATTACAGCTGTATTGATGATTGTCCAGAACTACTGAGCTTTGGTTATTTTAATACATTTGTTTCCCTTGCTTATATATCTTACAGCTGTAATGAAGCAGAATCTGCTTACTTTGAATGCTGTAAGTTCTGTGTAGAGACTAGATGTCTGCATCTCTTTGTGACCAGACAGCCTATTCACACTTTAGCAAAGGCCTGTTTTACACTCACACCTCAACCCACTTAGCATATCCCAAGCTTTGCTTTGTCTTGGGATGTCCTGCAGAGGCCGGGGGCTACAACCTGAGATGACCACCTGGCCAGTTTAACACACTTATTAGCATCACACACACACGGGGCCTGAAACTTGGGCCACCCTTTGATCAGTGCACCTCGAGATCAAGATCTGGGTGCCAGAGACATGCACACACACGCACAGACACACATAGCTAGATTTACCATATTCCAACATGGAAGTGCGAGCCCCGGCTCACACCAAATGACCAATAGGATCACGAACTACTGAAGGTTGCACCCCTGTCCAGGGCGGAGCAGCCCAAGAAGGTAAAATGTATTGTAAGAACTTAAATCAGGGTCAGTGGATGGAACTCCTGCGGGAGCTCTATCTTTCTGAATCCAGCGCTGTAAGGCCTGGCTGTGATCAGACATTCAGTAAACTGTTGATTTTAAACAGTCCTCTCCTGTCGTCACTTCTCGTGCTTCCAACAAAAGAATTGGGTAATATCTAACAAAGTGTAAAAACTGACTTCTCAGAATATTAACAGTTTTCTCTTTAGCACTGAACACCAGGCACAGCTAAGTCGGATGAGCTTTACAAGTATTGCATCCTAAAGTTTAAACATAGTGAAATGCTAATGTGATGATAGCGCTAGATTAGCCTGAAAACCAGATGCACTATTCAGCCAGTCAAGTCCTGGCAACTGAATAAATGTTAATTTAATAAATGTAATTTAACACCCTGCTCACCTGCATCAGCATCCGTACTGCCATTTTTCTGTCACCATTTTTTTATACAAGTTAGGAGCTAGCTGACCAAGTAGCCTTGTATGAAGATGGCACTGTTAATTTTGTGCAGACAGCTCTGATTGG